TGTGTAAATTTACTACCTAAAAAGTTGTCACACATATAATAGGAATGTTGTCCAACTAAAAATTGTACAGTTTGAAAATATATAACAAGTTGTCACACATTCAATTAAAAATTGTTTGGCTTGAAAAAATTAGCCTGAAATAATATCTAATCACCAATGTTTTATATTTTATATATACTATATATAATCTCTCTCATAAAATTAGTGTGATGTAATATTTAATGTTTTATATTATTCATACATATTTTTGTAGATATACACCAATCCATTTGTCCAGCTATTGTATAAATTATCATATTATAAATAGATCCATCTTAAACTTTCATTGAAGTTCCAGCAGCACCAGTTCCTTCTGATTTTGGGATTTCCTTTAACAGTCATGATCAGTCTTTTGTATAAAAAAATATTAGTGAATATAATATAGCTATTAAACTAACAACTTATTGTCTGACTGCCTAAGTAAATTATCATATTATAAAAAGATCCATTTTAGGATTTCATTTAAATTCTAGAGCACCAGTTACTTCTAATCTTAGGGTTTCATTTAAGATCAAAGTCAGTCTTTATGTGCGTTGGCATATTATTAAAGAAATCGGTTCTTAGCAACGACCGATTATATGTTGTTATTTTTACGTGTAAGTAATAGAAAAGAAATGTGCATTGGCATGTTCTTAAAAAAAAACTTTTTTTTTATCACGACCAATTATATATTGTTAATCACCACCAATTGTATGTTGTTACGCGTGTAAGTAATAGGTCAAGAAGAGTCAATGTCAATATTTATTGTACGTTGGCATGTTAAGTAATAGATCAAGAAGAGACAAGGTCAACATTTATTGTACGTTGACATGTTCTCAAAGAAATCGATTTTTAGTCACGAACAATTATGTTGTTTGTTTTGCGTGTAAGTAATAGAAAAATGTTGAAAATATTAGTTTGTGGGGACGACGAGTTGCTCAGTTATTGGACAAATAATGTTGTGTACAAGAAAGTTTAAATAATATATTTTTTTGCATGAGGAACATTTTATGGTTTGATAATTTTCCTACGAATTATCACTCTTTTGTTTATTAATACATTTTAATTTTTAATATTCTCCAAAGTAAATACAGTCCGTGCATCGCACGGGTTACATACTAGTTACCCTTAAAAGTATTTATTGATCATGGATAAACAAATATTTACAATTTTACCACTGCATGTTTGACCAATATTAATTATTTTTGACTCCATCATGTCCATTGATATGTTGGATCCAATGGTTCACAATTATTCTTATTTCTTTCACTAGGAATCATTCTCATATGATCTCTTCTCTATATATATATATACTAGATTTGGTCACGCCGTGCACACACGGCGGCCTAACACCCAGTGTAAAATTACTATGAAAATTTATCATAATATGTTACAGCTTTTATTTCAGCGTATGTTGTATTTGTTCACATATATAGTTTTTTTTTTCTATGGAAATGTTTTAAAATTTTGCTCTGTCGAATTCGCCAGTATGGTTTATGAGTTGTGAAGTTGTTTAAATCCATGTATATGCGCATGCATCCCGAAACTGAAATCGTGGTCACAATTATCTGCTTACGATTTTGTCTATCGATTCATAAACATTCTATGTGTTGCAGTTCGCGAGGTATCACAAAAAACCATATGTTTGCTGACTACCCTATGAGAAGTACATGATGTAGGGACTAATCTGAAAAGGAAAAAAAAGTATGTTTTGTTCATATATAAGTAATAAAGACATGAAATTTGTTATAAATGTGATAGTGCATTTGTGTGAACAGAAGTATATTAGAGAGGGAATATTTGATGCAAAATCTGAATGTAGACCAAATTTCACATAAGCCTATTGATAAAATAAATGGGACATACTTATAATATGTGTGAACTGTTTATTTTCAAGTCTATGTAGGATTAATACAAAATAGTCCCGAAAATATTAGATATCGTGGGACACGAATAATGATTGGCACCAACAAAAGCAGCAGTAGCTAGACAATCAATGACTTGATCAAAGAAATAAAGAATACTATATTTTAGTTGAGAGAGAGTGAGAGAAAGAAGAGAAGAATAAGAGGATTAAAATGTAGAAAAGAGACAAATAATGCAACTATGAGACTTGCGAATTTCACCAGATATCAGTAATGCTCGGTTCTCAGATTTCAGAGCTTGTGAGAGAACAGGAAGTGACTCATTGTAAAGTTCTGGGGAACTCTGAAAACCTCATAGGAAGGGTAACACCATCAATTGATACCACTTTTCAATTACTCTCCATGGTAACATGTTAAAACAGTATTTTAACAAGCACATTAACCTCGCCTAAAAAACGTAAGCCACTGAAAAGAATAGAAGGATAATTGAAATGGACTCGATAGTTTTTAAAAAAAAAAAGATGCACACTGAATGTTAGGACAAATTTCTAATGCCCGCGAGTATGGCCTACAAACAGTGAAAATTTTTATATCACACCTTAAATAAATGGATTACTAAAAGTAGCTTCAGGATCTACTCTAGCAAGATATCCAAGGAATGTGATATTCCAAACACTCTATAGCCAAAGTAGCACCTGAAGATGAAAAGAATGAAGAAATAGGTACATGAGTTAATCTAAGGAGAGAACAAGGATCTTACTATATTATTGAAAAGATTCCAAAAAGCAGGAAATCTCACAGAAGGACAATATAATCATCCGCTCTGAGTCTGTGATAGCTATTATATGGTCAATCCATGTGTGGATTGCCCTTGTCATTCAAAATAACAACCTCCCACAACTAATAATTTATTATGGTTATTAATGAATAACAAAGCAACACATACACATGTTGCATATACACACATATAGAAACACTTCACCTATTATATATCTAATTTCCCACATCTTATTTCATCGGAACACGTCTAAACATGTTAATACTATTATATAAACTCCAAACCCTTCACCTATATACACCTGTCCACATGAATGTTTTATTGACTAAAAAGATTCTAGAAACGAAGATTATTTAATAACATTTGCCGAGACATTCTGGGAACAATCAATCTGGAAAAGAAAACACATTATGAACTTAACAATAAGGCCTAGCCATCCAAATAACTGATGCCTCTAATAAATTTATGAATGTATAGACTGTACTTGCATAAAAATATTGATTATCTGAAAGAGTGATACAAAACTTTTTGGAAAACTAATTTTCAAAAAACGCAGAGGACGAAAAATACACTAAAAATTATCAAGTGGTGCTCTTCCTTGCAAATATATCTAACAAGAGCTATTTTAATTTCAAAAATTCATTATCCAGATGGCAGTAATCAGAGCACACAAATGAATAAAATGTAGGTTTGTTTTCAAGGCAAACCTGAGGATTTAAATCCCGATGTATAAGATTGTTTTCACGAAGAATTTTTAGACCCCCCACTGCATCATTTGAATTAAAAGAACCCCTTAATATCCCAAAAGTGAAACAAAACACAATAGCAAATAGAAAGATGATGAGTGGATACATAGTTGCTGCATAAAATGCTTTGCAGTTCCCTCAGGGATTTTCAATATCACCTTGAACTCTTCACCCTAGTTAACAAACAAAACAAAAAGAAACAAGAATTATTACACCAATCGAAAGTACAAAACAAACAAAGATGTAAAACTGAAAAGATATCGGGATTTATAGCACGAATTGAACTATTAGAATTTAGAACCCTAATAGCTGAAATTACCTTTGTGAAACTATTTGAGTTTCAGAAGTGTCGCCGAGGTAAATGTCGGTCCGCTGCTATCATTTATTTTCGTCGTTGTCCTTGAGGTAATAGATGACGACACGTTCTGGATGACCTGAGATAAGTCGGCCATGATGCCGAAAAATAGGATAAGAGAATCTAATTAATATTATAAGTAGGAATACAAAAAACTATACAAATCAAATATACCTCTCTATTGCATCTTGTGTGAGGTAGACGTGAGTTGGGATGATGTCATTTGTTGGACTAAAGGGTTGCACAATGTGTATATCATCCAAACCGAGAACAACATCAGCATGTTCAAAAGTGGTAAAAATTTGCAAGTCAGATCATGATATCTGTAAATCAGATATTTATCAATGAGGGCTAAAGAATATGCAGAAACAGATGAGTAATATCCTGCTGTTGGAATATTAGCCAGATCGTAATCTAGATCTCAATTATGAGTAATATCCTGTAGTTGGAATATTAGCCATATCGTAATCTGGATCTCAATTGCGCACTCTGTCTTAATTATTTCGTGTTCATCCAGACAAATCAAATTATACTTCTAGATCTTCCCTTTTTTTTTAAAACTATTAATAAATGTAGCACAACCTAGACCAAGCCATGATGTCTACAAAAGAAAATTCAGCAACATCCACGACAGTGGCTACCTTAATGAAAGCTGAAGATACAGATAAATTGTTCAAGTGCATTTACCTCAACATCTGCACTTTGGCCTGGTATCTCACAAGCCTCTGCATTTGTAAAACGAACACCATAATTAGTATAGAGTAATACAGTATGACAACAGTGCGTCCAAAATGAGTAAAGTCACATAGACCCCTTCTACTTCTCTTACCTTAAGCAGTACATTTTTTTGCATCCACACTCATGTTGTAATGCTTTCAACTGAATGAAAATGAACAAAATTTTCTTATAGGCATGAAACGAAAAACTGATTCTGATCATAATGCTCTTACCCAATCTTTACCTAGATCGGGTTCCTGCAAACCCAACAAACAAATGAAGTCACATTAATGCAATTTGCAAAGCGCCGAAAATCAAATTCACTAAATACAAGATAAAAAGACACGAAACCTAAGGATTTGGGTGTGTAAAAGAGGCAGTTGCTAATATTTTCTTTGTTCCAGCATCTTCATTTAGAGTCATATTGTCCTGCTTCAGTCACAATGGCAAAAAGAAGGCCTGAAAAATGTTAGTCTACACATATACACATACAAACACATAGATACATAGATAAAGCTTACATATCCATTGAATTTATGTGTGGCATCTTCTACTTCTTCGACCATCGACATAGTCATGAAACAAAAAACTCTATTTCTTCCTGAAGCGTTGTCGTATATCACTTGCACATACTTCATTACGCTCTTAATCTGTTGATATCGTTTTCTACCAAAAGCTCCACTCCAACACCAACACCCATCCATACACTTCTATAGAATCAATTTTTTTAACCAAGAAGCACAAGAAATTATGCCCAGGATCTTCAAAAAACCAGTATAATAAGTCAAAAAACTTAAAACATACTACTCTAGTGAATAATTACACACAATAATCAAATAGAACCAACGAATCCCACAAAATCAACGAACCTGAGGTGAGGTCAAGCCCATAAATCGTGAGTCCTTACAATGTTCGCGCAATCCCTGTGCTGAGATGAGTTTTATCGGCTGCAAAACCGCGAGCAAGACCAAAATCAGCAATCTTTGGTTCGAAATTCTCATCAAGAAGAATATTGCTACTCTTTATGTCCGTGTGGATTATTCTATGCTCACAACCTCCATGAAGGAAAGCAATTCCTTCAGCCGTCCCAACAATTATATTGTACCTCCCTTTCCAACTCAGAGTTCTACTCTTGCTCGTATCTAAAATTGAAAAAGCATTAGAAAAATAATTGAAAAAGAATGAAAAACCAAGTCATACTCACCCCGATTGAAGACTCACCAAAAAAGTGCTCTTCAAGGCCTCTGTTGGGCACAAACTCATAAACAAGAAGGCTTTCAGGGCCTTCAATGCTACAACCAATAAGCTTCACAAGGTTCTTGTGCTCGATTCCACTTATAAGATTTACCTCATTGAAAAATTCATCAACCCATTGTCTCGTGCCAAAGAATAATATTTTTACAGCTACAGTTTTACCATTTGGTAGAGTTCCTTTATACACAGAGCCTGCTCCTCCTTGGCCTAACTTTCTTGAAAGATCGAAATAGTTTGTTGCTTTTTCCAGTGTTCCGTATTTGAAATTCAGGTTCCATCTGTTGTATGAATATGAAATCTTGCCGAGATTTTCACGCTCTGCATTGTTTCGAGAAAATCGACGTATAATAAACACGATCGCCTTTTTGCTGTAAATTTACTAAATTGTACATTGACTTTGGTTTCTGGATATATCTCGGAGATAAAGTAAGTACCTTGTTTTCGTTATTTCCATCTTGAATAGACTGCATAGTTACCAAAAACACAGAGCATGGTGAAAGCCACTACTGCCAAAGAGATTGCCAAAATCAGACCTGCTCCGGATATACCTAAAATTAAAAATAATAATAATAATAATAATAATAATAATAATAATAATACTAATAATAAGAACAATAATTAATAGTTGATGGCAATGAATAACAAATGCCTGTATTAAATAATAAATGAATCAGACCAAAACAATAAATAAGAAGCTAAAATAATGGGTAACCACCAAGACAATCAAAAACTGACAAATTCAAACTAAATAGGACAGGTACACAGACAGAAAATCAGGAAAAATAAGTTGAAGAAAACAACACAGCGATAACCAATCATCTGCAACTGCAAATCAATTTTCATCAAACATAAAAATGGTGAAAACAATCAACAAACAGCTTTAAGGACACATAACATCAACAACATAAACAAATTCCAAGCCGAATACTCAGCACGGACTCCGGTGGAGCTTGAACAACTAAGAGGCGAAAACAGGTGAACCCACCTGAATCACTTTCAGCTCCGTTGGTGGAATTTGAAAAAAAACCTCACCGTAGAATGTTGGAATTAACTTTAGGCGAAATACATCGCTTTAATCTAGGAGTTTTCATATCGAATAATTGAGAACCAAAAACTGAATACGGAAGCGTACCTGAATCCATAGGTGATTGATTTTGGGGATTTGGCCTTCTAGGTCTATACGATCTGTACCTTTCAGAGGACCCTTTAGCTTTTCTCCGTAACCTCTCTGTCGATGGGATGCAGAAGAGATAATCTGTCGATGTCGTATGACCTAGGGACCACAACCCTTATGTACATTAAGTTACATTGAGCATCTCTATTTTAGCCCATCATTAAAATAGAAGACCCATTAGTTTCTACACATTAAAGGCCCACACCCTATTGATACTTTAAAGCCCAATAACTTTAAACCTTAATTGA